CTCAGAAATCATAGCCACAAAATTCATAACCGAATTTATGTCAACAAGAGTGATTGTACCTTGGTTGGGTTGGCCTTGGTCGTGTTTGCCTTGGCCTTGACCCTTCTTTCCATTCTTGTAAGAATAGCAATCCTTTTTAAAGTGTCCGAGCTTGTTGCAGAACCAGCAACTCCCACTCGGCTTAGGCCTTTTGTTTGAGTGGCCTTTTGGGGATTTGTTTGGCCTCTTTTGGCCCCGTTTCTTCTCTTCCTCCACCACATGAACCGTAGTAGACGAAGAAACATGTGTGTCTTTTTTTGTCATGCATTCGAAAGTTCTCCTCAATCCGAAGATGTGATCCCAATTGCTCAAGGGTCATATCTTCCTTCCTATGCTTCAAGGAACGCTTAACGTCCTTCCAAGACGGTGGTAGCTTGTCAACAATAGAAGAAACCATAATGGTTTCATCCATTTTCAACTCATGTTGAGTGAAACTACTCAAGATCCTCTGGAGCTCATGAAATTGCTCCATAACCGGTCTTGCGTCCACCATCTTGTAAGCGTTAAACTCGCTTACAAGAAACCTCTTACTCGAGGCATCTTCCGACATGTATTTCTCTTCCAATTTGGACCACAATTCTTTTGCAGTCTCTATATTTTGATACACATCAAAAAGGGCATCGGACATACCGTTCAATATGTGTCCGCAGCACACATAATTGTCATTGTCCCACTTGTTCCTCGTGCGTGCTTGAGCGAGCGTCTCCTCTTCATTCTCCTCCGGTCGTGGAGTGCTGATGACATATGCCACGTGCAACGTATTAAGAAGAAATTTCATCTTCTTTTGCCACCGCCGGAAAGCCATGCCCTCGAATTTTTCGAGTTTGTGAAAATCAAGAGTTGGATCTCTCACCGAAGAACCCATACCCGTCATTCGATTTCCCTTTTCCCGTGTATCCGAAATAAGGGATAACGTTTTAGATTGTTAGAAAAACTATGAAATGGGTCTGAATACAGCGGGAAAGAACAACAAAACAATGAAATCGAAATAAAGATGAAACAACCCGGATATAACCTTCTAGGCGCGTAGAACACTTTTCTAAAACGTTATTCCCTCCCCTACCGAGCAAAGGAGAAAACCCGAGCATACGTTTAGAGATACAAAGAAGATCAGCAACGATTGATTTGCTCCTCAAACGTTGCCCAAAACAGAAAAACCCGAGAAAGAAGATGAACAATAAAAGATGGAGAAGAAGTAGCAAGTTTCTTCACCAAAAAATGCTCACAAATCTCTCAAGATCAATTAGATTTCGTATATTCACATTCTCTGACGTTTTTGGCTTTAAAAACACCAGAGACATGATCAAAAGTTGTATCCATTTAGTAGTTTTCATGCGAAAGACTGCATTTGTTCATATTACACATATTTAACACGGTCGTGTCGAATCTGACACGGTCCGTGTCAATTATCTGTGCAAAATTAACACTCTCTCAGAGAATTGACACGGTCCGTATTGCACCTTAACACGGTCCGTGTCGAATCTGACACGGTCCGTGTCAATTGTCTGTGCAAAATTAACACTCTCTCGGTCTGTGTTGCACCTTAACACGGTCCGTGTCAAATTCTGAGAAAAACAGCATTTTCTCAGAGAATTAACACGGCCCGTGTTGAACCTAACACAGCCATGTTGTAATTAACATGCCCGTGTTACATGCCCGTGCAGAATTTCTGCACTTAAATTTCACTACTAAATACAAGTATATACTTTACAACATACATGTATATACTTTACCAATTCATACTATATCATTTACGAATATATATAACTCCTCCACCATATCCGTAATACATATAAATATGAACCACATGAGAGATTCATTAAATCCATCAATTTACTCTAAAATAAACAACATAAACATTATCAATAAACTTGACAAAATATCTTCTTTTTTATAAAAACAAAAAGTTAGCAAGATATCTTTCGGATTCATATTAAAAATTACTTATCGATAGATATGTATACAATTGTATTTTTGTCCATCAAATGATATTATTAATAGGAAAATATTTTTCTATTATTGATTAACGCAAGATACACGCTAATATATAGAAAAATAAAATAGTATATTCTAGGCATAATATCTAGGGTAAATCATAATTATATTAATGAGAATATATTTATGTATTTTCCCTCAAGATGAATAATCATCTATGATGAATTCAGTCTTGTTACATCAAAACTGAAATTGTGACCGTGTTAAACAAATTATCTTCCATGTGGTGGTGTAGTTCAAACTTGAATCAGTAATGCTTGATAACGTTTGAAGAGCTTGAAAATTGTAATCTCAGAGACTGATGTGGCACGGAAGTGCAGTGCATACCGCGTGTTGGGTTACACGATAATGAGGTCGGCAGTGCAAAAAATTGTGGCGTGTGTAGCGGCTAGGCCAGAGAAAAAAATAAAAAATAAAGGCGCAAAAAACGCGATGCATAATGCGTGATAATTTAGCAATGAGGCCACCGAAGAAAGAAAAAATAATGCAAATATATGAATCGATAATCGAAGTTTGCCAATCGAAAAGGATATAAACCAGATTCAAAGAGCCTCACAACAGCTAAGGTTGATGTCGAGAAATGAATGTCATCGAAAAAGAGAAGAAAAAAAGTAGCACATTGGCTAGGGTTGACGGTGATGAACACCGTCGTCGAGAGAAAAAAAAAAGACTAGGAAAAAAAGAGCGAAAGGAATGTAAGACGATAGTCAAGGTGATAACACTATTGGATTTATTTTATTACCGTCATTTTCATCATCGTTTTTGGATTCAGCCAACATTGTTGATAAGAGAAAAAAATTAGAACAAAAACCGAAACTCTAATACCATAATAAGGAAATGTTTTTCTATTATTGATTAACGGACGATATACGCTAATATATAGGAAAATATAATAGAATATTCTAAGAATAATATTTAGGGTAAATCATAATCATATTAATGAGAATATCTTCCTATAATTATTACCTTTTTTAAGAAGTTTCCCTTTTGATTAGCTATAAAGGTTACACCTTTCTCTCTATATATATATCAACTTCTACAATTTTAAGTAGAGAGAAAAAAAAAATCATCCTCACATTTTATTACGTATATAGCTATCCTTGTTAGAGTAACGAAGAAAATGTCATCCTCGAAGCTTGTGCTTATTACTCTTTTTATCATAGTCTCACTTGTTATGACAGTCCAATCATCGAGTATAAATTTTTTATCTTTTTCTTTTTGAAACCATAATAAAATATTAATTTTCATTTTAAAATAAAAATTCTTTATTGATTTATTTTCACTACTTCAGAATTTGTTAAACAAAATAATCAAATTTTAAACTTTAAATATTTTTTATTTTGGTTGAATTGCAGGAAACGTGAATCAAGAAGAAGGTGATTGTTATTGGGCAGGACCATGCAAATCCATTCGGGATTGTGATAAACCCTGTGCAACAGCTGGACCACCACCACATTTTACGAGGGGGTTATGTGAACCTCACGGTTCTGAAAAAACTGAATGTTGTTGCGTTTAGATATTACCAAACTAAAATATGAATTTGGTGGTTTCCTATAGATATTTAAATAAAATTATCCTTTATATAGTTCAGTTTCTCATTAGTATGTCTTATAAATGATGAGAAATGAAACACCAAGTGCATAAATATATTACATAATTCAATAATTATTATTAGGGGCGGGCATTATGATTGGGTCTCTCGAAATCGAAGCAAATTGAACCGAAAAATTAGTTACCGTTCTCGAACCAAACCATCAAAAGTATAAATGGTATTTTCTTAAAAAAACTGAATATCCTAGAACCGAACCGAATATTAAAAAAATCCAAAAACATGGAAATATTATTAAGAAATATACATTTTATAATAGAAAACCGAAATCGGAACAAAGCGACCGAATATAATAACCGATTGATACTGAAACACCCATCCCTAATGGATATCGTGTTTGCGAAGATTATTTATAAATTTGTATATTAATATGTGATATTCCTTATAAACAATTATATCATATACATTTTACATTCTTTCAAATTGATACCCAAATGTAAATTTATTAAACAAAAAATGAGTTTGTTTAGAAGTCGATCATTGGACTGTATACAGAAGAAATAAGGATACCCATTGGGTAAATGAATACGTAAACCCAAAAAAGGGTTTTTTTACTAATCGAATTTCGTTTAGGTATTTAGAATGACTGCGAAAGATATAGTTGTTTCGTTTCCACCAAAGTCCGTAGGTAGCAATTTGTGTGATTAGCATGGTAAGTGGTTGTTCGACACTTTTTTCGATTATGGTTAGACTCGTTAATACAATGAATTCGTACGGATAAGAGGGGTGAAATACAACTAAAACTATAGAAAAATAGACTGATGTTATCAATGCTCCTTAGAAAAACCGGAATTGTATGTTCCAAAACTCATGACCATTTCAAGGTCAAACTTTTCAATCGAGACCTCAACAACAATTGCATGGTTATCAACCAAACCAACAGTTTAGAGGTCAACAACATGCACATCAAAAGTTGGGGCAGACCCCCAATATCAAGTCTATACTCGAAACGCTTCTACGAGGGAAATCATTTACGAGTAATACGATGCAAGAGATGATCAGTGAACAAAGTGATCTGAAGAAGCAAATCCAAGGGATAGAATCCCACGTAAAGCTTCTTGATAACCAGATAGTCCAATTGACGTCTAAGCCGAGTAGGACAACGCACTCTACCTGATAAATAGAGTCAAATCCTCGAGAGCAATGTAACGATGTCTATGTGCAAGACAATGAAATATGGGTAACTTGGAGGATCTATGCTAAAATAAAGTTAGCCCGCACAGCTCGAAAGAAGAACCCCATCATAGAGGATCCAAGATTGGCATTGGTGCAGGTCGGAGGATGATGAGGGTCCACAGGCTGCGGCGTAGTGTTCCCAAATGCCAAGGCTGAAAGGGCAATTGAGGAACAGATGCATATGGGTTTCCTCATCAGCATTGTAGAGTGTACATGTGGTTTCAACGACAAGATTCTATTGTGCAATCTTGTCTTTGGTTAGGAGCCTCTTCAACATGATCTCCCAGGGCAAGAAAGTATGTCGCGACCCAAACTTGGATAGTTCAACCGGTAAAAACGGGGACATAAAATGTCTGTTCCACCATGAATTCAAACTTCAAGTTTAGAGAGAGGATGTATATTCCAAACCATATTTTCATGAGCGGCAGAACCAAGAAGAGAGTTTAGCATTTAACTTGTCCAACACTGGCTGAAAATTCTTCCGAGAAAGGTGCTTGGAGGAGAGGGAAAGATACCTAAAAGAAGATTTATTCTCGAAAACATATGCATTTATACACGTGTGTGTATATTTATGTCCATTAAAATTTTGTAAAGAGTTCAAGTTATAAAATAAATATTCGTCAAGTAATGAAATTAATAGAGAAAATCGCCAAAAAACCGTGTACTCTTCAGATGTCGACAAAAAAACTCTGTACTTTTTTTATTACCAAACTCTATACTTATACTTATCCGCCAAAATATACATGTACTTTATAAATTCTAGCAAATAAGTCCCTAAACGCAAACGCAAAAAAAAACGCAGTAAAAAATCTATCTGAACTTAATCCAACCGATATATACTCGAACCGATTAAAATAATATATCAGATTGGATATGAACATTTTAAATTTGAAATAACCAAACCCAAAATAACCGAACCCGAAATAACTGTAAAACAAATAAACCGAACTCGAATTAACCGTAACCGAATATAATCGTTTATCTACATATATATATCATCAATTAGTATCCAATATATTCTAAATTTAATTAGAAAAATTAATATAATGATATTGGATTCACTTGAATTTGAAATATTCATATTCAATCTGCTATATTATTTTAATCGGTTTGATTCTATTCGGGTATATATCGGTCGGGTTCGGTTCGGTTATTTCGGATTTGAAATAATCATATCCAATATGGTATATTATTTTAATCGGTTCGATTCAGTTTAGGTATATATCGATTCAGTTAGGTTCGGACAGATTGATCGTACTTTTTTTGTGTTTACGTTTAGAGACTTATTTGCTAGAATTTATAAAGTACAGGTATATTTCTATGAATAAGTATAAGTATATGGTTTGTTTGGTTTAAAAAAAATATAGGGTTTTGTCTAACATTTGAAGAGTACAGATATATTTCGGTGAATAAATATAAATATAAGGGTTTTTTATAATAAAAAAATATAGAATTTTTTTGTCAACATCTGAATACAGAATTTTTTTACGATTTTCCCAATGATCAATTCAAGATACATCAATACTATAATAAATATGCCTATCCGTGAGTAGGGGTGTCAATTTGGGCCCGAGGCCCGAAGCCCGGTCTGTGACAACCCAAGATACCGTAGGAGGACGGGGAGTGATCGTCGGTGCGAGAGGCATGGACAACGGGCGGCTCCTGAGAGCTTCTGGGTAGCGGGTACATGGATGAATCAGACACACCGGAATGAGAGGGATCCGAGGGCTGTGTAGGCATGAGACTACACAGTCTAAGATAACTTAAAGGAATTAATTGAGCTATTCATAGCAACAAGATGCATCTACCTTTTCGGTTGTCCATCTCGAGAGAATTCCAAAGTTAAGCGTGCTGGCTCTGGAGTAGTCTTAGGATGTGTGACCTCCTGGGAAGTACTTTCCAGGATGTGTGCGAGTGAGGATAAAGCATGCTAAAAGGTCACGTGTTGGTGTGTGAGGACAACTCTATCATTCCGTAGCGGCCTCGGGTCGTTACAAATGGTATCAGAACCGTTCTCTCCCAGTACGGTGTGGTTCGAGGATGAACCAGGCGGAAGCTGGTGGGCCTGTGACAGCCCAAGATACCGTAGGAGGGCGGGGGGTGATCGCCG